CCCAAAGCCAGTCCATTTTTACATTTTGATCTGATCCCTTTCAAGATCAAGTTGCTTTCAAGCATGAAACATCCTTGCTGGGAAAAAACTTCTGTCTGGTATACAGATTAGGCAGGGAGATTTCTCTCTCTCTTTTTCTCTCTCTTTTTCTCTCTCTCTTTCTCTGTTTTAAAGAATGTATGAGTCTAGTTTTTTTCTCCTTTTTTTGGTTTCTGTGCACACAGTCATCAGGAAATCCTGTACCTAGAATTTGGGGGCCTGTCAAACATCTTTTTTTAAACTCCAGGTCCTTATCCACAGCTAATCTCTTCAAAGTATGCATTTAATGGGAAAAATGTGCACGCTGCATTGTCCTTCTTTTAATGTAAGCCTTACTTTGCAAAGCTCGCCTCTCATTTCCCATGTGAGTAAGGAAAGGCGCCCATTTATCTTCATTTAGTCACAGATCGGTCAGCCAAGCCCAGTGCTGTCTACGGCAAAACAAATGTGACATATACAAACCGCTGGGATGTCATAGGCTAGGAGATGAAATCCCAGACGTTTATTTCCCAAACATCTGTGTCTTGTTTCAAAACCCCACTTAAAGGCTTGCGCAGGTTCTCACTGGCTGCGTGTTGAGGTTGTTTCTCCATGTTCGTGAAACCACCAAAAACTATAGACTAAGAAAATGAAACTACATGAATTGTTTCCCCCAACCATCTTGGTTCTTTACACACACACACACACACACACGTATGTGTGTGTATGTATGTATGTATGTATGTGTGTATCAAGAGAGATTGTAGGAATATACTGGTTTCGATGTTGACTTTGAAGACTTTGAAGGGCCAAAATGTGCGTGAAATTATCCTGATTTACATAAATCTCCAGACAAAGGAAAAATATTGTCATCTAGTGGAAACATTTCAGACAAATGGTTGCCCAATCTCTTCTTAAAAACATTCACCCACAACTTCTACAGGCAAACTGTTGCACTGGTTAATTGTTCTCACTGTTAGGAAATTTCTCCTTAGTTCTAAGTTGCTTCTCTCCTTGATTAGTTTCCATCTACTGTTTCTTATTCTGCCAGCTTGACTCCCTCTTCTTTGGGGCAGCCCCTGAGATATTGGAAGACTGCTACCCTGTCACCCCCTAGTCCTTCTTTTCATCAGACTAGACATACCCAAGTCCAGCAACCATTCTTCGTCTGTTTTAGCCCCTAATTATCTTTGCTGTTCTTCTCTGCACTTTTTCCAAAAGAGTCTCTAATGCAAAAGGTCGCTCTGTGAGATAGGCAGCCTCCAAATTTGTTCTATAAAATATAAAATAAATACAACAACACTGGGCTGATGTTTGCACCCAGGAACCCCCTTGTGGAAAGAAAAACATGAGATAAAGCAAAAGCTCAAGAGAAATACTGTTTATAAGTGTTATTGCCTGTCATCTTCCCTCCTCCCGCTCCCTCAGTGTTATCTACACATATCTACACATATCTACAACTTATCTACATATTTTGCAGATATGATTCTTTGGTTGCTCCTGAATTTTTCCACTCTTTCTCTTTACGCAGCAACTATAAAAGAAAAAAGAAAAAAAGAACCATCGAGAACTGCAGATGTAATCTCTTGGGGTGAGGTGGGGAGGGGAGGAATAATATAATATCAATAAATATACCAATGTCACAATAGGTTTGGACTCAAACCTTTGGCACCGATCCGTTCTGAGAGACAGAAATCCTTCCACAGCATTTGAGATCACAAAGCAGAACAAAACAAAAGCGTTTTTTCTCTCTCAAAGTTACGATGCACGCAGCACAGCAGAATTCTTCCAAATGGATTTTACGTAGATTCCTCAAAGAATCCTACAGCGAAATTCATTAAAAAATAAAAACCATTTTTTTTTTCATTTTGTACCATTTTACGGCATGGCGTTGGTTGGGCGCTGTATTTTTCTGCTTTTGCCACTAGCTAAACAGAATAAAACAATGCAGAAACGCATGAGGGCTACAGCTGGTTTATGCCCGCACCTGTCTTGAAGGCTGCCCCCAAAAATATCACGCCCGGTTGCTATTATCATCCTGGGACTTTAAGCCTCTGCATTTGGGGTTGGGGGGGGTTGGGGAAGGAGAGAGGCAAGAAACCCCACGGTGAGCAAGAAGCTGCAGACGCTGGAATTAAAAGCACAGAGAAAGGAAGTTGTTTTTTCCAAGAGTTGGGCAAGTTTAGACCGGGGTGCCAGAATTGCAAAGAAAGGCATCTGTGATGCAAAACGGAATGCCTCCCATTTTAAAAAGCGGAAAGATCCTCCACCTCCATGGAAGAATTATATTGATTTACGGAATCCCCAGCATTGTGAGGACGAAGACGATGGAAGTGTTGGGCAGCTTCTGCCTTTTTGAGGATCAACCATTAACTTGGAAGAACAAGCGGATTTCTCATCCTGTGGTTTTTGCACCCAGGTAAAAGACTGAATGGTGTGTGTGGGTGGGTGGGTGTGTTTAGAGGATGAGCGGGTTTTGGATTGTGACACTTCTTCCCAACCCCCGCTCTCCAAATCCTGGCCAACTTTCTCTTTTAAGAGGACAATGCTGCTCATCCTTGTGAATGGAAGATCTGTGTTCCAGGAAAGACCCGGGACCAAAGAAAACGGTTTTATTCCAGCTTGTGGAAGGGGGTTGGACTAGAAGACCTCCCAGGTCCCTTTTCCATCGCTTCTGTTGAAGGGCGTTTACGGATTCTAATCCGCAAGTCTCAAGCCCGCTGCCGAAAAAAATAAATAAATAAATAAAGACCATTGAACCTTCTCCAGTGGTGGAATTCAAAATATTTAACTACCGGTTCTATGGGCGCACGCTTCCTTATGAACGGGGTTTCCCCCCTAAAACTTACCTTACTGTGAATGTAGAACAGTTGAGGCGCAGCTGCGCCTATCAGCTGAGCTACCAACAAAGGATATATAGGACAGGAAAGGGCAGGGCCAATTGTTGACAGGCACTACCGGATCACTAGAACCGGTGTGAACCGGCAGCATATCACTACTGACCTCTAAAGCAGGGGTCCCCAACCACCGGTCCGCAGACCGGTATCGGTCCGCGGAACAAGTCCTACCGGGCCGCTGGCTTGCTGGCGCCGCCATCTTTTTTTGATGAAAAAGTGCTTCCGGTGAGGTCACCGGAAGCACTTTTTCATCAAAAAAAGATGGCGGCGCCCAGCTGATGCCGGTACCGGGCCGCGGCGCCCAGCTGATGCCGGTACCGGGCCGCGGCGTAAAAAAGGTTGGGGATCACTGCTCTAAAGTACTCCTGCTGTGACCCCTACTCTCCCTTCTACTTCCCAGGAAGGGGGTGGGGGGGATATTCTTGGGGAAGGGAGAATTTATTTTGGTGTCCACTGGCCCTAATACACTCTTGGGATGGGGAAATACAGATAGTCCTCGGCTTGCGGCCATCATTGAGCCCCACGTTTCCGTCGCTACGTGAGGCCGTTGCGAAGTTAGGGTTTCCGACCCCATTTTGTGACCTTCCTTGCCACAGGCATTAAGCGAATCCCTGCCACCGTTATATCAGGAACAACGGAGGTTAATGGCCACCATGGAGCCCAAAAAATTCGGTTGCTGAGGGAGACGTTTAAGCGAACGATGCCCCATTTTAGGACCTTTCTTGCTACAGCTTTTTAAAGGGCATCGCTGCCGTTAAGTGAGTCACACGGTCATTAAGTGAACCAACGGCTTCCCCATTGATCGTGCTGGTCAGAAGGTCGCCCAAGGGGACACAGGAATCAGTTGCCAAACGTCTGAATTTTGATCCTGTGAAGGAGTCAGGCGTCACTTTTTCCCCTTTGCCGTTGAACGACGAATGGTGACTTAATGAACCGTCGTAAGCCGAGGGCGACCTGTATTCGTGCAAAACCCACGCTTCTGGTGGGTGGAGTTGGCCGGGCTTCCTAGATGCCTTGTTGGTGACAGTGAGAATTCCAGAACTCTCAAGGACACGGTTGGCTTGGCACCAGCCTGAAACGGAGGCCTGGTTCAGGAGAGGTGGTGTGGCAGGGGACCAAGAGATGCTACTGCCGGCATCTCAGCACCCACCCTGCGCATGCCAGTCATGTGTGCTAAGCACATGCTCGTGTGTGACAAGAGAGACCTCGCGCTCCAACAATCGTTGGCAGCTGTGCCCGTCACTCAGAAAGGATGAAGAAACTCGTCCCGGGATTGTAGGCAGTTGATCGTGGTCGGGTTAAGGAGGCATGCAAGGACCGGAGCCTTGTTCCAGCACACAGGTAGTCCTCAACTTACAGCCTCAAATGAGCCCAGGTTTCTGATGCTAAGGGAGTCCTTTGTTCAATGGAACAGCATTTGGCTTCAGAAGTTGTGGGAGCTTCATCTCTGGAAGCTTTCAAGAAGAGGACTGGACTGCCCTCGGCCAGAAACGGTGTCAGGCAGGGGTGTCAAACTCAAGGCTGCAGCGCTGCCCTAGAAACAGCAAAGGACCAGCCGCGGGCAGCACTCCTGGGCTCCTGTGCTGCTGGCAGAGGGTTGCAGGAGGCCATTGCAGCTGAAAACGGAGCCCGGGTTGTTGGCAGAGTTCTTGGGCCACCAGAGGCGAGTAATATCCAGCTGGCCATGCCCCAAGGTCAAACATAACACTAATGAGGCCCTCAATGAAATTGAGTTTGACACCCCTGGTATAGGGTCTCCTGCTCAGGCGGGCAGGGGGGTTGGACTAGAGGACCTACAAGGTCCCTTCCGACTCTGTTAATTTGTAAATCTGTAAATCATGTTGTCATTCAATGAATCTGGCTCCCCTGCCCACCCATTGACTTTGCTTGTCGGAAGCTGCCTGAGGAGGTTACCAATGGCCGTCCCTTGACCATGCAACAGTCACACATACATGCCAGTTGCCACGTGCCCGAATTTTCACCCCATGACTATGGGGTCGTTAGCATGAAGAATGACCAGAAGTCACCGTTGTTTTTTTTCAGGGCCGTCGTAAGTTTGAAAAGTCACCAAGGCTGTAAGTCAAGGACTACCTATTTAGAGCTGCACCAGTGTCAGGACAGCCATGAAACGATGCCAGGATGCTTGGTGGGTTACGCAATGGAGAAGGGAACTGCACCTCAGTGGGCCGAGGGGAAGGCGGAGGAGAGGAAGAACTGCCCGCCTAGCCCCACAGCCAGCGACGTAAAGTGAGTCCAAGAGAACGCCGGCCTCCCATCAATCCACCGCAATGCCCCTAATGCAAGCCAAAGATCACATCCCCCCGGATGGAAAAAGACCACACGAATCTTGAACGACGTGTCCAACAACCGAACATTTTGGAAGGATGGTGCGAGAAAGAAAACCATGTGCACGAGGGATGATGGCGGATTCCCCACCCCCCATCCCCAATTCGACAAAACAGGACACTCTTCCCAAACGTACTGAGCAATTCACACCATGCAAAGAGTCGGTCTGAGCTCAAGGAGTGTGCATCGGAGACGTTATCTCGGTCCGTAGTCGTAGGTCGTGGGAGCGCCGGCGGAGGAGTACATGTTGGCGGCCGCGGCAGCCGCGGCGGCTGCAGCCGCGGCGGCTGGATTCATGTGGTGATGGTGGTGATGGTGGTAACTGTGTCCTCGGATACCGGGCAAGGGGTAGGGGGCTGGCCGGCTCTTGGCTCCTAGATAATGGTCATAAGCGGAGACCGGATGCTTGTAGGGATGGTGATGGAGAGGTTCGGAAGCAGGGGGGTCCAGGCGCAACTCGTGATGGGGGGGACTAGGCCGGCTTCCAGCTGGACTAGGCAGTGGGACCAAGCCGCCTCCACCAGGAACCGGGAGCGCTGGACTTAACACCCGAGACATGAGCTGCTGATGAGTTGGATCGGCGTGGAGGGGTGTCCTGCTAGCTGATTCCTGTTCGTATTCCCGTCGACTGTCCACTATATCTGCAGCACATGACAGAATAGGGAAAGGGGATCAGGGGAGAAAGTACAAGAAGGGGTCAGCTAAGTGTGACATCTCCAGGACTTTAGGTAGTGGCCTCTGCGGTGTAAATGTGTAGGACAGGAGTTCTCCAACCTTGGCAACTTTAAGACTTGTGGACTTCAACTCCCAGAATTCCCCAGCTTTGCAGAGATATCTAATTGGCCGTCTTTGGCCTGATCCAGCAAGGATGATTCTTAATGATAAATTTGTGCACTGAGTGAAGCCATAATCCAAATTCATTCCTCATGTTGTGTATATCCAGGTAGGCTGTTCTGTTCTTTATTCTATTCTGTTTGTTGGATATTACTATAATGCATTGTTTCATAACCTCAGCATCTTTAAGATATGTGAACTTCTATTACCAGAATTCTCCACACGGTATGGCTGACTGGGGAATTCTGGGAGTTGAAGTCTACAAGTCTTAACATTGCCAAATTTGGAGGCCCTGGGTGTAGGAGATCAGCAAGCTGAGCTGCAGGGTGGGGTTAAATGCATCATTAGTTTGGAATCTGCCAAGTCCAGTCTCCTGTGAATTCCATTCACTCTTATCTACCACCAATTTAGCTTGACCGTTAGTAGACCAGATTCTTGTGTATAGATGACAGGAATAAACTTCTAGTGTTTTGAACTCAACTTCTGTTTCTGATTATTTGTGCCTGACAAAGTGTGGACCATTGCACAACTGGACGGCTCAAACTCACAAGTAGGGCTACAGAGATATCTGCTTCCATGTACTCATCTGAAACCCCATTTTGAAACTGGACACACCACCCCAATATTTTGATACTTCTGCTCCTTTGGAAAAGGGTACAAAGAGGTTGGTCTTCCAGATATTGCTAGAGCGGACACCGTTATTGTTGATAAAGGTTTGTTCTTCGCTTGTTCTTCTGCTACATCTAAACGTTCACCCTTCGAGGGTGACAAGAAACACCACCAGGTGTAGTAGCTCTATACTGGCAGTCCTCGACTTACAATAATTTCATTTAGTCACTGTTACAAAGTTACAATGGCACTGAGAAAAGTGACTTGGGACCGTTTTTCACACTTGGGACCGTTGCAGCAACAGTCACATGATCAAAATTCAGGTGCTTGGGCACCTGACTCATATTTATGATGGCTGCAGTATCACACGTTCCCCTTTTGCGACCTTCAGAATAGCAAAGTCAGGGGGGAATCCAGACTCATTGAACAACTGTGTTGTTCACTTAACAACTGCGGCCCGAAAGATTGTGAAATGGAACAAAACTCTTTGTCTCAATAGCCACAGAAATTTCGATGCTCGGTTGTAAGTTGCAAGTTGAGGATTACCTGCACTGCAAAGTTACACTAACAGAACCTTGCAAAATTGAAAGTATTTCCCCCTCTCCATCTCTTCTACTCTCCGGAAAAATAGGGAGGGTCCCTTCTGAATTTTTTTCCCCCACACCCTCTCTCCTTCTGCGAGCTGGGAATTCTTGTCCATGCTGTTTGTTCAGTCTGCAGCTCTTCCTCCTCCCTCAAGGTCATTCTCGCATACCATTCTCTCTAGATAGCTACAAGTTCCCCTTCACCTAGGCTTAGGAATTTCTTGGCGTGTATCCAGCCTTCCCTGAGTAAACCAGACAGGAAACCTGTCTAGATGAACTAAACTTCTATTCTATTTATTTAATGTAAAATCACATTAACGGCATCTCGCAGGCCCGAAGGTACTAAAGTTCCCACCGCCCCTTTTAATTGCCTGAGCAATTAAGGTGGGTCCTTCCTAAATTTCTTCCTCTGGTTGTTAATCCACTGTCGCTCTAGACTGATTGTGTCCTGGGCAGCATCTTTTCCCCTCGTCCCCCAAGGTCATCCCCCATATTGCATTACATCATGCCATAGATCAGTTTCATTCTGATCCCATTCCTGCTCCCCTGACGCGGCAGAGGGAGAAATATACTTTACAATAGAAGTATAAAAAAGATGTAGGGATTGGGGCCCCTATGCAAGGACAGGTGCAGTGCCCAGATGTTTCCCTCCATTAGGTCCAGCATCGCTGTCTACGCTACAGAGAACAGGATCAAACTACACAACTTAGGGCTAACCTTCTACGTTTTGGATTGTAGGATTCTACATTCAGTGTAGAATTGAGTGTCAACATCAATTCTACGTTCAGTGTAGAATGTAGAAGGCTAACTTTCTATATTCTGGATTGTAGAATTCTACAATGTAGAATTGAGTGTCAACATCAATTCTACATTCAGTGTAGAATGTAGAAGGCTAACTTTCTATATTCTGGATTGTAGAATTCTGCATTCAATGTAGAATGTAGAAGGCTAACCTTCTACATTCATCAACACTGAATCATCTAGTCTACCTTTGGCTCCTTCTGTCACATTCTTCATTTTGTGGATGGTTCCGGGAGATAGACCCCAGTCTTAAAAAGCTTCTAGGTTGTCCTTTCCCTAGAAATCCAGGAGGAGTTAAAATAAGTTTTCTACCACCACAAAGTTAAAGAGATCATCTGACCCTCTGTCACCAAGATGGGAATTGCTAACCTAAGCAACTCTAGTCTTCCTGTGTGTTCTGGTCACAGAGCTATCTTCATCTTCTGATGGAAAGATGGAACTATCTCAGATGCTTTCATTCAGATGCAAGACCTTCTGATCGGTTGTGATCCACCAAAGTGGAAGCTTAAGATATTAAACTGCTTGGTCTTTAAGCTACCTCTGGACCAGGGGTTGGATTCAAATTTTTGTGCTACCAGTTCTGTGGACATGGCTTGCTGGGCGTGGCAGGAAAAGGATACTGTAAAATCTCCAGTCAGGTGGTGTTTGCTGGTTTTCCGAACTACTCAAAATTTCCGCTACCTGTTCTCCAGAACTGGTCAGAACCTGCTGAATACCACCTCTGCTCTGGATACCTCAGGGTTATAATGTCCCAACAAATCAAGAGAATATTGGGTCCAATTGTTCTTTTTGCTGGAATTGGGTATGTCTAGTTTAATGAAAAGAAGGACCAGGGGGACATGATAGGAGTGTTCCAATATTTGAGGGGCTGCTACAAAGAAGAGGGAGTCAAGATATTCTCCACAGCACCTCCAGGCAGGATGAGAAGCAATGGGTGGAAATATATCAAGGAGAGAAGCAACCTAGAACTAAGGAGAAATTTCCGAACAGTGAGAACAATTAACTAGTGGAATAACTTGCCTCCAGAAGCTATAAATGCTCCAACACTGGAAGTTTTTAAGAAGAGATTGGATAACCATTTGTCTGAAACGGTAGAGGCTTTTCCTGTGAAAACAGTGGGTTGGACTAGAAGACCTCCAAGGTCCCTTCCAACTCGGTTGTTCTACGCTTTTTATGTCTCCTGCTCTGAAGTCACCTGGAGATTCAAAATATATTTTCACCCCTACCTCCACGACAAGGCTCTTCCTTGGAAAGCCACCGCAATGTTTTCTCCTTAAGAAGGAAACAAAAGGAGACTTCTCAGGGTGTGGGTGGGTGTTTGTGTGTGTGCATTTGTGTGTGTGTGTGTGAGAGAGAGAGAGAGCGCCTGTATAGGTATGCACACTGTGATTGCTTTTCAGACCCAACCGTCCGACGTGAACAGAGATGAAGGGAAGAATGCAGAAATATACCAAAGTTTAGGTTTCCTTCTCATTCTTTCTTTTTCTTTCTTTCTTTTTTTAAAAAAAGATGAAGTGTTTAACATAGTGTTTAGGCTCCTGAGACAAGGCATTTTGACTTTGATAAATTGAGCAGAGTTGAGTGACACGTTTGCACACGCCTGAAATTTTTGCAATTGTATAACGCTAAACAAATACAGCCTCCCCCCCCCACCTTTCTTTATTTTAATAGGCCCGGAGTGCGCTGGGAGAAAGGGCCTCACTCTTGTTCTTTTTCTTCTCCTGAGAAACTGTTTATTCTGCGTAATGGAAATAGAATCAGCGAGAAAGCTTAAATAGATATCTGGGACAGGTTTTGGAGGAGGTTAAAAGCAATTGCTGGGTATTGTGGGGTTTTTTTTTTTCTTTCTTTTCTTCCATCCTTCCTACTTTTTTTTTTTTTTTTTTTGCAACTTCTCCTCCTATCTGTTCTTTTGTTTGCTTGCTCAAGAAAACTGCTTATGTTACAAAGCTCTCATGGAAACACCGGGACGTTGTTTACAGGTTAAATTAACATTAAAAAGATACATAAGGGGAAAAAAATGAGTCATATTTAATGTGAATTGGTTGTAAGTTTACACGGGAGGCTATATATATGTATATGTATATGTATATGTATATGTATATGTATATGTATATGTATATGTATATGTATATATATATATATATATATATATATATATATATATATATATATATATATATGTGTGTGTGTGTGTGTGTGTGTGTGTGTCTGTGTTTATTGGTCTTGGAGTTTGCTGTGTTCTGTTTGATTGGGGTTTCTAATATCTTCTCTCTGTTTTGTAGCATTTTTTTTGTCTTGATTGGCTGGCAACACTATGTTTCATGTATTGGGGGCTTTTAGCGCAGCTTGGCTTCGGGTGAATGGCCGGCTATCATTTATTAGGAAGCTAGGTTTCATCTGGGCTGTGTTTGGGCTGGAGGTATACATACATACACATATACATATACATATATACATATATGTATGGTATTCAGCTTTGTTCGGGTATTTTCCCACGTCATTGTAGTTGTGCTTTTAAAGTTGTAGCAATGTTTCGGCAGAATCTCATCTGCCATCATCAGGCTTCTGTATTGTGTTCGTCTGTGAGTCAGACTTTTACAGTGGTTTCAGTTTTAAATGGTTTTTAAATGGTTTCAGTTTTAAAACTGAAACCACTGTAAAAGTCTGACTCACAGACGAACACAATACAGAAGCCTGATGATGGCA